CCTTCAGCCTGGATCTTTGGAGACTCCTCCTCCTGGACACTCCCACTTAAAAAATCCACTTTTGGTCTCAAGGTTTGTCAAAAATCGCCTACAGGGGTGGTGGGGAGGCTTGGTTTTCTAGATTAGTTGCCCAACTCCCCCCCCCCCCATTCTTTTCTTCTGAGTAGACCTTTGTTACCACCCAACTGGGGACCTGTCCCTCCCACTCCATCTCCTGCTGCCTTCCACACAGCTCCAGCTGGCAGGCTGCCCTGGAACTACTTTGCATAGAATCCCCAAAGGCTTCCTGCCAGCCCAGTCCTTATCTGCATCCCGAAGGATGCTGCACCCTTATATATGACCCCTCTGCGAGTTCTGAACCCTTCAGATAAAGACAGGCAGCATTCCCTGCTTGACCCCCAGCCTCCCGGGCTACATACAGCAAAGGATAACAGAATTCAGATGCCAACTTATGATCAATAAACACAAACAAGGGAAGAAAAAATGAAATACTGCAATTTGACCTTGGTGAGACACTATCTGGAACTTGGATTTTGAAAATGTGCCCAAGTTGTGAAGATCTCCAGAGACAACCATGGAGCCAGACCCAATGAACTGCAAAAGCAGGGTTTTATTTTTCATCCAACCATGACAGGCACCCAGTCTAGCAAGCTGGATGCAGCAGCCTCCTGAGGGAGGGAAGTTCCCTGTCTACTGCTAGGTGTAAAGACAATAGTTACGGGATTACATCAGTAGTTATGGGTTGGTTTCTGATTGGTTGACATTTTAGCATGAAATACCTGTGTGTTAACTACACAAATTGGTTGATTCTGAGGAGAAACATTCTGAAGTTTCTATGGCATTTTCTTGTTACTTGCAGGTATCCTTTTGTACACAGATACCAATAGTTTTTAGAACTGTATCCTGGGGAATGCAGGGGAGGTTTTTGTGGCCAAACAGTTCCCAGGAACCAAGTACCAAGGAGGCTGCTGGGGTGGGGGTGAGGTATTCTGGAGTTTCTTATGTTCAGTTTTGGCCATAGGTTCCAGGAGGCCTGAGGATCTGAAGTTTCCTTGTGTCACAAGCCTATGTGTCTTTTCTGTAGCCTGTCATGGCTGCTAAAGCCAGGGGCTGAGTGAGGTCTGGTCCCTTCAAAAACAAATTGGTGTCCAGAAGTCAGTGGTCCACCCATTGATAAATGCTCAGTGTTGTGTTCATCTTGCATTGTACTGCTCTCACCACTAGATGGAAGTCCTTTATTTTACTAATTCAGAGACACATTAGTCTTTTTGACTCCTGTTAAAGATGCTTTCAGATAAAATATAGGAAAAATGCTTTTTAATGCAGTGGTGAGTGCAGAGGCCTTTACTGTGCCAGTTGCAGAAAATAAACAAATTACATGGCCCCAGCCCTGAAAACTTCACTTACAGCGTCCCTTGTATGGCCCTGGGAACGTTGAGAAAGAGGAGGTGGATAGGGAGTAATAAGGGAAAGACGAGGAATGGCTGAGACCTGCCATTCTCTAGACTCCACACAGCTGTTGTAATCAGTAACCAACAGCAACAGTACTGACCCACATTGACCTCACACTGGATCCCAATCAGTCTAGGAAGGGGAAGGTCTCACAGGGTCCAACTTTACCTCTCAGATGTTGTCTATGGATGGATGGACTATAGGACAAGAATCGCTGCCTTTATCTGTAGTTCTCTGCTAAGCCCATTAGGCTCCAACAGATAGCTCCAAATCCAGAGTCTCACAGATGGCTCCAGTCATGCCCAGTAGGTCTCAAACCTAAATGAATGAATATGAAAACAACACTTTTGTTGAAATTGTGGGCTAGGATAGCGGAGATGGTAAAAAGTGATAATGGACGGTATTTAAGACACACACATACTCAAATACACAAACTCATGTGCATTCTCTCTCTCTCTCACACACACACACATATATATCATATATCATATACTCATATATCACATATATATACATACATATATGACTTACAGCCCTTTGCCCAGCCAACCCAACAATGGCTATGAACAGAATGTCCTACACTCAAGAAAATTGCTCAGTCCATTAGGCTGGATGTCTCAGCTGGTCCTCAATGTGTGATGGAATCACAAGAACAAGCCTGTGTGACACTGAAGCCATGGGTGTGCTGTAAAATAAGCAGACCGGTCGCAAAACCTTCCTTCTTCCATGTCCTTTTATAGGCTTCTACTAGAAGATGTGGCCCAGGTTAAAGTTGTATCTTCCAGCCTCATGGTTATTTTCAAAGACTTGTGTCTTCCCACCTAAAGATATGAGTTAAAGGTGTTTGCCTTCCTGTAAGGGGCCGTGGGCCCAAAACTATGCAGCTTAAAGCCCACCTTTGTAAGCCTTTTAATGACCTTTAAGTTTTCGGCTTAAAGCCAGCTCTGTGAGCCTCCTGTAACCTGTAATTAGATACGGTTTGGCCAAGTGGAACGGCTAACTGCTTCTGTTCCGAGAAAGGGTCTGGAGCTTTTCTGTTCGCTGTTCCAAGGAAGACCACTAGATGTTCCGGCTGACAAGAAGAATGTTCCAGTCCCAGCAAATACCTGATGTTCCTTCTATTATTCCCCCGAATTCTGTTGTTGTCTGAGCCCCAATAAATCAAGACCTTGACAATTGCATAGATGGACTCTGGTTCCCTCTTTTGCGCCGCTTGGTCTCCTTCCTTCTCTTGCCCATGACTCTTTCAGGCAGCCCCCCCTTTGGAACCCTGAATGACTGGACCTGCAGGACGGGTCAAGTGGCGCCTGAACAGGGACCCGAAGTACAGTCAGCTGTCGGACGGCGAAAAGACAGCCTGGGACAAAGAGGATCCTGTAGATAGCTAAACTCGAGCTCTCTCCAGGTACCAGGTAAGGTACCAATCACTGCTGTCCAAATGCCATGGGTACTTTCATTAGTAAGGAGTTAAAATTCATAACAGAGTTCAAAATAGCATTCAGGGAGAAAGGAATAAGAGTTAAAAAGAAAGATAAAAAGGAGTAAAAATTAAAAGGGAGAAGATAAAAAGAAATGAGTTAAAAAGAAAGATTTAGTCCATTTTTTCTGTTTTATTAATAAAGCTTGTCTATGTTTGATTTTAATGGGACCAGACATAGCTCCCCAGACCTGGGAAAAGGTTGGGAGAGATTTAGGTAAGATGTATGAGTTAA